GCGGGGCTGGGCCCGGCAGTGGGGTGGCAGCGGGTGTGTGGGTAACAAGAGCCGCTCCCTGGTTACCCGGCCCTCTGCTCGCGGCACGGAGAGTTTCAGTCTTTTGGAGTCCGGCGAGTGGGGAAATTCCTGGAAGATGGTGCTTTTGGTTGTAGCATCACTGAGTCACAGAGGAGCTGAGGTGGGAGGGAACCTCTGGAGGAATCTAGTCCAACCCCTCTGCTCAAGGCCACCCAGAGCCACTTGCCCAGCACTGTGTCCCGGCGGTTTTTGAATTTCGCCAAGGATGGAGACCCCACCACCTTTCTGGGCAGCCTGTGCCAGTGCTCCGTCAACCTCACGGTGAAAGAGAAAAACATGTTCAGAGGGAGCCTCCTGCATGTCAGTTTGTGCCCATGCTCCTGTCACTGGGCACCACTGGGAAAAGCCTGGCTCCATCCTCTTTGCATCCTCCCTTCGGGTATTCACGTACATTGATAAGGTCCCCTTGAGCCTTCTCCAGGCTGAGCAGTCTTTCTCAGCCTTTCCTCATAGGAGAGGTGCTCACGTCAAGTACGCAAAGGTGTGGCCTCACCAGTGCTCCTCTTTCTCTGGAGATACTCAAAACCCGCCTGGACGCGGTCCTGTGCAGTCTGCTCTAGGTGACCCTGCTTTGGGAGGGGGGTTGGACTAGATGACCCACAGAGGTCCCTTCCAGCCCTTACCATTCTGTGATTCTGAGCAGAGGGGAAGCACGTCCACTCTTCGACCTGCTAGCAATACTTCACCTAATGCAGCCCAGGACGCCATTTGCCTTCTTTATGGCAAGGGTCCACTGCTGGCTCACGTTCAACTTTGTGTCCACCAGGACTCCAGGTCCTTTCTGGACAAGCTGGTTTCCAGCTGGCTGCCCTCCAGTGTGTACTGGTGCCTGGTGGTGTTCCTCCCCAGGTGCAGGGCTTTGCACTTCTGCTTGTTGAACTTCATGAGGTTCCTGTCAGCCCATTTCTCTAGCTCGTCGAGGTCCCTCTGGATGGCAGCACGACCTTCTGGGATATCAGCCACTCCTCCCAGTTTGATGTCACCTGCAAACATGCTGAGGGTACACTCTGCCCTGTCATCCAGGTCATTAATGAAGATGTTAAACAGGACTGGACCCAGTACCAACCACTGGGTCACTACTGGCCTCCAGCTAGGCTTTCTGCCACTGATGACCTCCCTGCGG